CCTAGATGATGTTACCACTGTGTTAGACTTTCCTGAAAACCGCTTCAACTTGGTCCTGCAGATTCACTCTGGTGCAGAAACACACCGTTGAATTTAACCAAGTGGCCATGGCCAACTCCGAGGGCTCTGAGGTCATGCTGAACAGAGTGATGACCAAAGACAACATCGGTGTGGCTATTCTCCTGGAGATCCACAAAGACACATTTTCTGGTGGTAAGAAAACTGAAAAAGTGAATGAGAGCAAAAAAAACCCAGCCTGTCCAGACAATAGGAGATTATTGTTTGTCTACAAATATTTTCTTCCCTCTGCATCTGAAATGTTTCTCCTTGTCTTTGTTCTCAGGCATAAAGACTCCACAAGACCGCCAGCTCCTCCTGGTTGCCAACGCTCATATGCACTGGGACCCTGAGTACTCGGACGTGAAGTTAATCCAGACCATGATGTTCCTGTCGGAACTAAAGAGCATTGCTGAGAGAGCTGCAGGCTCAGTGTTGAGCGGCTCGCCCACCCCTGATCCTGGCTCCGTCCCCATCGTCCTGTGTGCCGACCTCAACTCTCTGCCAGACTCAGGTAGTACTCAGTGGGGTGAGCTGCACGTTTCACAGATGCTGACACTGTAGCACAGATATTATACCAGCAGTAAAACACCAACTGGTCATGAACCTATGCCCCAGTAAATACAGTAAAGTTCAGAAAAGTCGCAGCTTCTCTCAGCGAACATAAAACCTAACAGCCTGTTATCATTGTTTCATTTCAGGTGTAGTCGAGTACCTTAGCAATGGCGAAGTAGCCGAAAACCACAAAGACTTTAAGGAGCTTCGCTACAACGAATGTCTGTCCAACTTCAGCTGCAACAGCAAAAACGGCACCTCTGACGGAAGCATCACCCACAGCTTCCAGCTGAAGAGCGCCTACGACAGTGACATGATGCCTTATACCAACTACACCTATGATTTCAAGGTAAAAACAAAAGAGAACAAATTACTGTTAAATTCTGTCTCATGAATCTGAATACAATCACATTTTTATCAATACTTGTGAAAACCCACCTCCAACCCCCTCGTCTGTGTCTACAGGGTGTGATCGACTACATCTTCTTCTCTAAGACCCACATGAGCGTCCTGGGCCTGCTGGGACCGCTGGACAGCCAGTGGCTGGTAGACAACAACACCACAGGCTGCCCGCACCCCCACATCCCCTCAGACCACTTCTCCTTGCTGGCCCAGCTGGAGCTCCGCCCACCCCTGCCCCACCCAGTCAACCCATTGAACAGGCTGCACCTGTCAGTCAACAGGTAGTGCAGACTGACGGAAGCCCCGGCTCACCTCACATTTTTAAACCCTGGCCCCAGCCCTCCCTCCATCTTTCTACAGGACTGTGTACAGTTAGTTATTCTACTCCCCAGCTCACACCGACCAATAAGAGTCAAGTGTTTGGCCATCATTGTTTTTTTTTTCTTTCGCTTTTAACAGTCTTGATACCAAATGTTGGGTTTGAAAAAACCACGGTCATAAACATTTTTAAGATAAAGACACATAAATAGTTGCACACTACAGTGTTCGTGAATGTCACCACAAAGGCGTGAGCATTATCAACAGCGTTTTAAATTTTCATTTCAGCAGTGAATACAGTAGACTTAAAGGTAGGACATGCAGGAAGTTATGAGTTTGTGAACCCCTGAGCCCCCACTCGCTGGGCTGTAAACACTGTTAATTTCCTTCTCCATGACTTTAGGGTTTACTTACAATATTATCATTTCACATAAGAATTTAAATTCCTTTAAAGTCCTTTAAATTATGAAATATCCGTAATATGAGATTTCTAATTCATCCGCCCCCAGAAAGAACTTTTTTTAGCTGGCAGACTGAGATACATTACTGACATCAACTGGCTCTGTTTGCCATTGGTAACATTTCTTTCCAAACTTTCAAAGGAAGGTTAAAAAACAAATACATATTGGATGAACATGCTAAAACACTTCTAGTAGACCATTAAACAACTGAGGGGATAAGTTTTGAATTATTTATATTTTTTCCTTTTTTGTTTTGAAAGCCCTGCATTATCTGCCTTTAATTCTGTTGAGTGAAAGGGGGAAAATGAAAAAAATGTCTGTTAGGTAGCAAAATGTGACAGTTACAGTGATATTGGATGCATCCTGTAATTTGGACCCCGTTCCTGGGTTAGTCATGGTATCACGTTACTTTCTCTTACATTGTCAGCTCTAAGCTGTAGCTTCAGTCGATGTAACGCAGACATGAACTGATGGGAGGTATAAGAATTCTAACTCAGACATGAGCATTAGCCTTATTTAGAATTTCAGTCATTAAAGAGCCAAAGAACTCTCTCCCATGCTGACTGACCTGTGCAATAATATTAATAATAATAATAATTAAAAATAATAATAGTTCTATTTATATATTAGTACTGAAAACAAGTCAAAAACCTTCCTGATCAGTATCATCTCTAAAAGTCTGTCAGTTATTGATTAAACGTATTAGCCCTTTATCTCCTTTGCGGTATCTCAGGGGCTTTGCTATGCATAAAGCTGTACCTCACAAACTAACCCACACTTCAAGGTGGCACTGTGTACGAGCAGAACTACTCAGGAGGCTGTCCTTCTGAAACCATCTGTCTATGCATCTGGATGTTGGTCGGTCTGTATGAAAAGATTCTAGACGTTTTAAGTGCATTGTTTCAGATTTCGTAGGTTTTTCTGGGTACTACAGATTACGGATTTCAATTTTTGAATTTTTACTTGCTGGGAAGTTTGTTGGTACCATACAGGTTCTGAGAAATTCTGGTTGTGCATAGAGATTCTGGACATTTGCACTCTGTGTGTTTGTGTGTTTGAGCATATGATTGTTTTGGATTATCATACATACCTGGAGACCACTCCAGATTTCACATATACGTAATTAATTACATGTGCACAGATTGAGAACATACTTTCCTGGATGTCCATCAGTGCCATACACATTATGGATGTTCATTAACAATCTGCAAAAATTCTCATTATTCGGAAAGATTTTGAACATCTGTTCAGGTTCAGGACATTTGCACAAATTCTTGATGTTCAGGAATTTGTAACCATTTGTGTGTCTGGACATTTGTACCATAAAACATGTTTTGACATTCAAACCCACTGTACCAGATGTTCCTAAGCACACACAGATTTGCCTGGATGTTCAGAAAGGCGCTGTACTTTCATATTTACATGTGTTAATATTTTTACATGTGCATACGTGTGTACAGATTCTAAATGTTTGAATCAGAAAGATGACTAAAGTATGTAGAGACTCCAGAAGTTCAAGGGAGCTTGTCAATAAGATACTGAACATTTGTACCTATACCTACCTATAACACGTGTGTTATGCGCATAATAAAAATATATATTCTAAAATATTTCACCACACTTGCTTGAGGACATTTACACACTGTACCCAACTGTGGACGTTGACATTGCAGTTGTCTTGTTGCAAAAAAAAATCCCATGTCTTTGTGCATTTTTGATAAAACAGTACTGCCGCACTTTTGATCCAGTTTCCCATGAAAACCTTTTGGAAAAAATGAATTTATGAACTACCAAAATGTTCTAAAACAAAGCGTTGAAATAAATTTGTTTCAGAGACCGTCTGGATTTTTAAGAAAAGCATTGTGTGTGTTTCTCTTTGAAAGAGTCTAATGTTAAATTCACCTTTAAATTTCTTTACAGTGTTTAAGTTCAAATTGTGATCTGGAAAACGATTGGTGGAATTTTTGATGATGGAAAAACTAAAGATGAACTAAGTCCTTGTTGTGCTGGAAACTTTAAGATTTTTAAAGCTTTTAATATTTAGTTATTTTCCTATACATTTTGATGAGATCCATTTGTCAACTAGGGCTGATTCAAAGCTAAACATACCTAACTTTGCATTCTTTAGCTTTTTTTTAATATGTTTTCTTAGCTACCTAAATGTGTTTTTGGCACAATCCTCTTCCAATAGGTCCAGCTGGATGGCAAAAACAGTGCTAGCAGTACCTCAAAAGTAATTTGTATGAAATATTATCTACTGACCATGCCAAAAGAGTTGAAAAGAAAAGTTTTGAGTGAGGAAAAGAAGGGTACAGTGAGCATCAGGTTGTTTCCATCCTTAAATATCTAAGACGGTGGTTCATAAGAACAAGGTCAAGCAGCAGACATTAGGGACAACAAAGCTACAGGCTGGCAGAGGGCAAAAATCACTATCCACTGACCGGGATGTCCGCCAACTCATTCCAATGTCACTCAGAAACCGTAGGATGACATCAACTGATCTACTAAAAGAATGGCAGCTGGGGTGAAGTGCACTGCGAGAACTGTTCGAAACAGGCTCCTAGGGGCAGGGCTAAAGTCGAGTAAAGCTAGAAAAAAACCCTTCATCAATGAGAAGCAAAGAAAATCCAGGCTGGGGTTTGCAAAAGACCATAAGGATTGGACCGTAGAGGACTGAAGTAAGGTCATCTTCTCTGATGAGTCCAATTTTCAACTTTGGCCAACACCTGGCCGTCTATTGGTTAGACGAAGACCTGGAGAGGCCTACAAGCCAGTGTCTCGCATCCACTGTGAAATTTGGTAAAGGAGCGGTAATGATCTAGAGATGCTTTAGCAAGGCTTTGCGAAGGACGCATGAATCAAGCCATGTACAAGGTTAGCAGGACAATGCTCCTTGCCACACAAAGTGCCTTGCGAAAGTATTTGGCCCCCTTGAACTTTGTGACCTTTTGCCACATTTCAGGCTTCAAACATAAAGATATAAAACTGTAATTTTTTGTGAAGAATCAACAACAAGTGGGACACAATCATGAAGTGGAACGAAATTTATTGGATATTTCAAACTTTTTTAACAAATAAAAAACTGAAAAATTGGGTGTGCAAAATTATTCAACCCCTTTACTTTCAGTGCAGCAAACTCTCTCCAGAAGTTCAGTGAGGATCTCTGAATGATCCAATGTTGACCTAAATGACTAATGATGATAAATGGAATCCACCTGTGTGTAAGCAAGTCTCCTTATAAATGCACCTGCACTGTGATAGTCTCAGAGGTCCGTTTAAAGCACAGAGAGCGTCATGAAGAACAAGGAACACACCAGGCAGGTCCGAGATACTGTTGTGGAGAAGTTTAAAGCTGGATTTGGATACAAAAAGATTTCCCAAGCTTTAAACATCCCAAGGAGCACTGTGCAAGCGATAATATTGAAATGGAAGGAGTATCAGACCACTGCAAATCTACCAAGACCTGGCCGTCCCACTAAACTTTCAGCTCATACAAGGAGAAGACTGATCAGAGATGCAGCCAAGAGGCCCATGATCACTCTGGATGAACTGCAGAGATCTACAGCTGAGGTGGGAGACTCTGTCCATAGGACAACAATCAGTCGTGTACTGCACAAATCTGGCCTTTATGGAAGAGTGGCAAGAAGAAAGCCATTTCTTAAAGATATCCATAAAAAGTGTCGTTTAAAGTTTGCCACAAGCCACCTGGGAGACACACCAAATATGTGGAAGAAGGTGCTCTGGTCAGATGAAACCAAAATCGAACTTTTTGGCAACAATGCAAGACGTTATGTTTGGCGTAAAAGCAACACAGCTCATCACCCTCAACACACCATCCCCACTGTCAAACATGGTGGTGGCAGCATCATGGTTTGGGCCTGCTTTTCTTCAGCAGGGACAGGGAAGATGGTTAAAATTGATGGGAAGATGGACGGAGCCAAATACAGGACCATTCTGGAAGAAAACCTGATGGAGTCTGCAAAAGACCTGAGACTGGGACGGAGATTTGTCTTCCAACAAGACAATGATCCAAAACATAAAGCAAAATCTACAATGGAATGGTTCACAAATAAACATATCCAGGTGTTAGAATGGCCAAGTCAAAGTCCAGACCTGAATCCAATCGAGAATCTGTGGAAAGATCTGAAAACTGCTGTTCACAAACGCTCCATCCAACCTCACTGAGCTCGAGCTGTTTTGCAAGGAGGAATGGGCAAAAATTCCAGTTTCTCGATGTGCAAAACTGACAGAGACATACCCAAAGCGACTTACAGCTGTAATCGCAGCAAAAGGTGGTGCTACAAAGTATTAACTTAAGGGGGCTGAATAATTTTGCACGCCCAATTTTTCTGTTTTTTATTTGTTAAAAAAGTTTGAAATATCCAATAAATTTCGTTCCACTTCATGATTGTGTCCCACTTGTTGTTGATTCTTCACAAAAAAATACAGTTTTATATCTTTATGTTTGAAGCCTGAAATGTGGCAAAAGGTCACAAAGTTCAAGGGGGCCAAATACTTTCGCAAGGCACTGTAGGTCAGTCAAGGTGCGAATGGAGGATCACCAGATCAAGACCAGTCCATTCTCCAGACCTGAACCCCATTGAAAACCTCTGGAATGTGATCAAGAGAAAGATGGACAGTCACAAGCCATCAAACAGAGCTGTTTGAGTTTTTGCACCAGGAGTGGCATAAAGTCATCCAACAGCAATGTGAAAGACTGGTGGCGAGCATGCCAAGACGCATGAAAGCTGTCATTAAAAGTCAGGGTTATTCCACCAAATATTGATTTCCAAACTCTTCCTAAGTTAAAGCATTAGTATTGTGATGCATTGTGATGTTTTATTTTAAGTCTAAAAACACTGCATCTTTTTTGTTATTTTGACCATTTGTCATTTTCTGCAAATAAATCCTATAAATGACAATATTTTTATTTGGAATTTGGGTGAAATGTTGGCAGTAGTTTAAAGAATGAAACTAAAATGTTTATTTTACTCAAACACATACCTATAAATAGTTAAATCAGAAAAAAAAATTATAATTTTGCAGTGGTCTCTTAATTTTTTCCAGAGCTGTATGGTGAGAGTAGGGAGCAGGTGGAAGGAAACTGGTGAAGGTGGAGGTTTGTTTTGGAGCATAGAAGAATGAATGTCAACAGGAGCAAGACAGAACACATGGGTGTAAATTAGGTGAGTGGAAGAATATAAAGAGTACAAAAGTGGATGAGTTTAAATACCTAGGGTCAACCGTCTAGAGTAATGGACAGTACTCTTTCAACTCACTCCTGACACTTGTCTGTGTCAAGAGTTGAAAGAGAAAGTGCACTAACCCGCAGGGATGAAATGAAACATCTCCATCTGAACTCCTGGTCAACTTGACACTGACACAGATGATCTACAACCCCTGGCAAAAATGATGGAATCACCAGTCTGGGAGGATGTTCATTCAGTTGTTTAATTTTGTAGAAAAAAAGCAGATCACAGACATGACACAAAACTAAAGTAATTTCAATTGGTCCTTGGTCTACCAGTATGCTTGCCTTTAACAACCTTCCCATGTTGTTTGTACTTGGCTCACATTTTAGACACAGCTGACTGTAAACAACCAACCTCCTTTAAGAAGTTTTATAATCCACTCTTTTGTTTCAATTTACGTCTTTTGTTGGACCCATGACTCATGTCAGTCCATTTGGTGCAACAGCTCTCCAAAGTGTGATCACTCATTTTTAACTGCAGATTGGCGAGCAGGTCTAATCTGATGCAGGTGTTAATTTTGGGAATGGAAATTTACAGGGTGATTCCATAATTTTTTCCTCAGAATTGAGTGATTCCATATTTTTCTCCTTCTGATTGGTCTAAAAAAGTATGTTACTGACCACCACATCTTTTGTTCTGGATTTCCTTTAGTGTTTCCTAAAGCCAGAAAGTTGCCAATTGAAATGTGTTGTAGAAATCTTTACATAATTTGGAAAAATCAAGAGCCAACAGAGATTGTTTTTGATGGATTTATTCTAAATAGCTTGGCCAAGAGTGCCGCTCCTAACTCCTGTCTAACACAGTTGTTAGAGACGACTGACCCCCTGTTAGGTGGGCTCTCTTTTATATGGTTTTACATGGTTACATCATACAGTTGTTAAATTTCAGTTCAGACAAAGGACACAATCTTAACCTTCCAAACTTCCTCTAGATTAGGAAGTCCACTCTTTATGGTCACCAAAATCCATGACCTGGATTCCAACCTAGTCAAGAGGAACACACATTCCCTAAGAAGTAAACTATTACAATTTATGACCACGTGACCAAGAGCTTGCAAACACTTCCCAGTAAACAATTAACTTAAAGCCATAATACTATGTTATATAGCTAAGTTATATAGCCCAAGCAGTTCACTTGCACACAATCAACACACTTCCCTTCAGTTTAAACATTAATATGACATTTGTATACACAATAAAAATGTCAAAATTGATTACAAACTTCTACAAAATTAAACGACTGAATGAACATCCTACGAGACTGGTGATTCCATCATTTTTGCCAGGGGTTGTAGATCTGTGAACTGGATGAATGGCAGAACTGTTGCTTAATGCTATCTAAAAGAAAGAGGATAAATATTGGATATTACTTTTTGTTGACATCGCTTAAAAAAAAAATCAGCTCAGTTCCACAGAAAAGTATGCTCAATAGGGTTTCAACTGTAAAGTATCTGCATTTTTAGAAAAAAAAAAATATTTTTTTAATTACAATAGATAAATACATTGTCCACAGCCACGACTTGTTGTTTGTCTCTATATGTTGCCCGGGCGAGCATACACTGTACGATTTTGGAATTTTCTTTGGGATTCTGTCTCTCAG